AAGAGGGAGGGGGGGTCTTGGGTACTGTTGAGTTCTGGGGGGACGGAAGTTAAATTGGGGTGGAAATACGAATGAACAAACCTAATGTGTATGTGGGAGGGGAGGGATACATATATATATATATATATATATATATATATATATATATATACACACACACACACACATACACACACACACATAGTAGAAACTACTGGGTTTAAAAATAACCCAATTCGTATCCCAGCGCTGGGTCAAATATGGACCGACCCAACTCTGGGTTGTTTTAACTCAGCTGGGTTGGGTTGATAGTTTGACCCAGCACACTGGGTTATGGCAACTAACCAAAGGTTGGGTTAAATTGACTTGTTTAATTCGGTTAAATTGACCCAAAATTGGGTTGAAACTCATAACTCAACAGAAGGGTTATTATACCACTATAGTTGGGGGTTGGGGGGATTTATTTATATTAAATTTCACTAAATGAAAACAGGATTAAAAACAATCTGAATTTACAGTTTTTATTTCCATTTGATACACATATATAGCCAGCAGATGTATTTACAAAAGTTACAAAACATAAGTTAGTTGTTTCAAAAGTATATAGTGTAGCGTCCCGGTTGAAAGGATGATCTCTCAAACTGATGGTTCACGTTTCTTTATTCGACAGCCTTTGTACATGAAAACACCGTAAGAGCTACAAACATACAAATAAAATACCATTAGTAACTCTTAGTGGTTCTAACCTTTTAACTTAACCTATAAACCTTACTTTATGTAATAACATTAAATTTACAATACATGTATTTAATTAACTATAATATTTCTATATTACAAATTAACTAAAACGTATTCCAACTGTTCGACAGTTAATCAAATATTAACACTATTTCATGTCGAAACATAAACATTACGCTCAGTATATACAATACTCTCGTCAAAACACTCACCTTGTTCCCTCATCAACCAAGCGCTAATTAATTGTTTAGACCTTAGTTGGACTATTCCTTAGTTATCTCCCTTTAACTGTGACTCGTACGCTCTCTTACTCTCTGCACTATGTCCCAAACAGTTAATTGTCAGTTATTGTCAGAAGTTTGTGTAGATCACTTAGCAACCTTGTCCCTTTAAAAATCCTTTCAAATTAAAAGCATCAGTCAAAAGGTAACAAATAACTCTTGGTTAAATGAGGAAACAACATAAAAAAATAAAATAAATATATATATGTATTAATAAAGTCATTTACATATAGTTAAATCACTTCAACTCATTTGGCTACAACTCCAGAAGTTTCTCCACATTAGAAAAGATTTCATGTAAAAAGTCTGTTTTAAAGCAAACTACAAGTAAAACTTTCAACCATTAAACAAGGAGCATTTTTAATGACACTTTAGCATTTTGCCAGTCTCCCTGCATGAGGACATACGGCTTGTCGCATTTTGTAGATGCGCCACCAGGTTTGTCCCAACCTGATGGAGAGAGAAGACAGAAAAAGCAGGCCAAATAAGAAAAAGCAGGCCAAATAAGAAAAAACAGGCCAAATAAGTGCATTAGTGATGCACTTATTTAAACAGCAAACAATTTGAGCATGATTCAAAGATGAAGGTTGACTTCCAGGCTGGATATCAATGAAACCTTCTGAACTTCCAGGTTGATGGGTCTGAAACTCTTCTCCCAAATGAGTAAGGTGGAGCAGGAAGGAGAACTGGCAGCAGCTGCAGGGCTACATCATCTTCTGGATCAAACATAAGCTAGTGTTAAAATGTTGCAGTAACTGAAAAGCATGAAAACATTTTAGAGAACATTTCTTCTGAGCTTCAATACCTTGAGGGAGCAGACTCATGTTCTTGGCCATACAGAAGGTCTTCGTTAAGAACAAGGAGTTTGGGTTTCGCTTAATTCTCCTGAAGATCCTGGATGTAAAATTACAAAATCTATCAGGAGAGACAAAATCCCAAATCAAACTTTAAGAATGACTGAATTCAATCTTATAGCTGTCTCCACTGCAAATAACATGTAATTAGTCAGCAATTTCAAATGTTCAGAGTAATTTTATGTTCCTAAAAAATAAATAGAGCACTTAATAAAATACAATGACTCATATAATTTTATTTATAAGTAAAACTTAACTTAAACACTAACTTAGTGCTAAATAACTTTCAGCACCGACTTTAAATAAATGATTTTGTAATTAATAGTAACAATGATAATAAAATTAGCAATCATTAACACTAGATATTGCCTTACTTTTGCTTTTAACTCGTTGCCGAAAACCAGCGGGAAACGGTGGTTCTCTCTCGGCTTAACGAGCCGCTCCGCCCTGACAGAGCGGGCGAGACGAGCCAGCGGCTGCAGGGGAGCGGATAAGTCCGAACACGTCCGAGCATGTTTCTAATTAAACTATATGTAGCGGCCACTCGGATTGAACAGCCAGACGCAGGGAGTTTCAAACGGGTGCAGTTTAATCTCGACCTTTCTTTCCATCGACACCGTGAAAACTGTCGTATAAAACAAAAGGATACAGAACCGTTGGACATGCTCAGCTCTTGTATAAAACCACAGAAGGTAAAATGGTTTAGCTACAACAGGAATGAGAGTAAAAGGCCGGTGCTCAACAGTTGATTTGCATTTACATGGCTCTCAGCAACTTCATTTAAATACGAAAACCTCTGCTAGGCACAAGGGGAGGGGGGTGATAGGGGAACACGGACACACACCGTTTTTGACCATTCTTGGCAGTGCCCTACAATTTTCCATTCTGACAAAAACCTCTTGCCGATAGCCCTCAATCTCCATGCGCGCGGCAGAACTAGGTGTCAATAGCTGTCGAAAATCCCACTTTGCATGCAGTGTACTGAGTAACTGATCATAAC